ATTGTAGCTTTTAACTCATGAACATCTCAAGTATCCTTATGATTTATAGAGAAAAGTTATCTGCAGTGCAACAACAAAAGTAAGAAATTAGTGTGTAGAGCATATGAGAGGAAGTAGATAAAAATTAAGTGACAAATGAGACAATGTTAGCACCGGATATTTCAAACCCCTAAGTAGATATTTTTCCGCAAACATAGAGCTAAAGCAACAACTTTTGCAGGGCTTTCGTTGCTTTGGTGCCTTGTTCCTTATCACTGCCTTGCTAATCTAGGTGAGACATTATAGGGCCTCAATGAACACTTTCAGAATTATTGAGATGTATTTTTATACTTTGCATAGCTGAATTAGTTTGTTAGCACTTACTTTGTTGCTTGCTTAGCTTTCACTTAGCCTGGGGAGGGTAGTGTGTATGCAAACCTTACCCCTTCCCGAGGGGGTTGAGAGGTTGTGTCGGGTAAACTCTTGGCTCAAGAAGACGAAAAGAGAGATAATATATCAGTACTATCAATAGAAAACAATAGAAATAATGACAGAAACATAAGAATAGATGCAAAGCACTAACAATAATCAGTAGATAAGGTCCGGCACAAAGAAAAACTGTAGAATAGTGCGAAGACAACATGAACCACTAGCAGTTTAAGACAAAATCCTATCAGACTAGCCTCACACCTCTACAAAGTAGAACAATGCTAACTTGGGTAAAATCATGTTTTTGCTTCTGGAGCGTATTTTGATTTGGTAGGACATACCTGGTTGCATCTAGTGGACCATTTGGAAGGAAAGAAATCTAAGAAAGTTTGAAGGAAAGAGGGACTCACTCACTATCTAGATTGAATTTAAACATATTCTTCTTTTAGCATCCTAGTGCAAGAGGAAGTAGAAAATTAAGTGACAAATGAGACTATGTTAGCACTTAGCACCGAATATATCAGACCCCTAAGCAGACATCTTTCTGCAAACATAGAATTAGAGCAACAACTTTTGCAGGACTTGTTACTTCAGTGACTTGTTTTCTATTACTGCTTTACTAATCTAGGTGAGACATTATAGGGCCTCAATGAATAGTTTCAGATTATTGAGATATATTTATATACTTGTATAGCTGAATTAGTTGGTTAGTTCGTGGCTTAGCTGTCAATTAGTTGATATTAGTCGGTTAGATGGTTTCAGATATTTTGGTATAGATATATTGGTTTCAGATATTTTATTTTTTCTTGATACGTGACTCAAATGGCCTGCTCTTTTGAGTGCAGCTAATATTGCAAACCCTTATAACTTTAAAATGAGTCGGTAAATTATTCGGGTAAGGAGGAAAGGGGGTCTAGTGCATTTTTTCTGGAAAAATGAAGAGCCTTTCACATCCTTCTAAACTTAGAAAGAGTAAAGTAATTAAATAACCTTTTTAGATTTCATCTAGCACAGTCTAGTCGCATGAGCAAAATACAAAAATAATAAAGCAACAAGGAAAGTGACGGAATAACTTCAAAAAGGGTGGATAGTTAGTTTCATAAATCTATTGAGGAAAGAGTTTCCCGATTTAAAGACAATCAAAGTGTCCAGTTCTATTCACTGCTACTCGTGCTGCAGCAGATTAAAATTCAAGATGAGTAACTGAAATGTTGGACAGAGAATGGAAGGGAACTAGTGAATATTTGTAGAAACTGAAGAATATGCTTCTTTGGGTTGATTAAAAGTGGGAATAGCTTGAAACTTGGTTAGATGAGATAAATGTTTCAAATTACTTCAACCGTACATAGGTTTTGCTATTTTATTTGAGCAGTAACTTTTTCACTAGATACGTATTGATACACGCACTTTCAAACAAAATTAAATTGGAGTCAAATTGTTAATGTCTTGGTGGAAGTTGCTTTGGGATTGAAGCACGTGCACAATTGCAGTCCTCCATTGATCTTCAACGACTTAAACCCATCCAACATACTTTTGGATGAGGTAATTACTTTATTAAATTTATTAAGATATGTCAAAACTTTAATATCTTATTCATTAAAATACAAATGTAGGAATTAAATGTAGTTTTGTGCGATTTTGGGGCGCCGTCACCAACAACAAGGGAGAAAAAAATTTGGTACCCCTAGATATATTGACCTTGCCCATCTGTATCAAATGAATCGTAAGCTCAAGGATGATTACCGATCTGAATCTAAAATATTTTTGCATTCTGGAAAATTTAATATTTTAACAAACTTTGTCTATTTTATGACAGAATATCCCGTAGTGGAAAATGACATATTCGGTTTTGGAATATTCATGTTGCAACTTGTCAGCCAATGTGAGAGTATGACCAAGATGAAGGATAGAAGTGGAAACACATGTAATTCCAAGACTGAATATGTAATTCCACTTCTATCCTTCATCTTGGTCACACTCTCACATTGGCTGATAAGTTGCAACATGAATATTCCAAAACCGAATATGTCATTTTCCACTACGGGATATTCTGTCATAAAATAGACAAAGTTTGTTAAAATATCAAATTTTTCAGAATGCAAAAATGCTTTAGATTCAGATCTGTAATCATCCTTGAGCTTACGATTCATTTGATACAAATGGGCAAGGTCAATGTATCCAGGGGTACCAAATTCTTTCTCCCTTGTTGGTGACGCCGCCCCAAAATCGCACAAAACTGCATTTAATTCCTACATTTATATTTTAATGAATAAGATATTAAAGTTTTGACATATCTTAATAAAGTAATTACCAAATCCAAAAGTATGTTGGATGGTTTTAAGTCGTTGAAGATCAATGGAGGACTGCAGTTGTGCACGTGCTTTAATCCCAAAGAAACTCCCACCAAGACATTGACAATTTGACTCCAATTTAATTCTGTTTGAAAGTGTGTGTATCTAGTGGAAAAGTTACTGCTCAAATAAAACAGCAAAACATATGTACGGTTGAAGTAATTTGAAACATTTATCTCATATAACCAAGTTTCAATCTACTCCCACTTTCAATCAACCCAAAGAAGCATATTCTTCAGTTTCTACAAACATTCACTAGTTCCCTTCCGTTCTCTGTCCAACATTTCAGTAACTCATCTTGAATTTTAATCTGCTGCAGCACGAGTAGCAGTGAATAGAACTGGACACTTCGATTGTCTTTAAATCGGGAAACTCTTTCCTCAATAGATTTATGAAACTAACTATCCACCCTTTTTGAAGTTCTTCCGACACTTTCCTTATTGCTTCATTGTTTTTGTATTTTGCTCATGCGACTAAACTGTGCTAGATGAAAACTAAAAAGGTTATTTAATTACTTTACTCTTTCTAAGTTTAGAAGGATGTGAAAGGCTCTTCATTTTTTCAGAAAACATGCACTAGACCCCTTTTCCTCCTTACCCAAATAATTTACTGACTCATTTTAAAGTTATAAGGGTTTGCAATATTAGCTGCACTGAAAAGAGCAGGCCATTTGAGTCACGTATCAAGAAAAAATAAAATATCTGAAACTAGTATATCTATACCAAAATATCTGTAACTATCTAACTGACTAATACCAACTAATTGACAGCTAAGCCACTAACTAATTCAGCTATACAAGTATATACATATATCTCAATAATCTGAAACTGTTCATTGAGGCCCTATAATGTCTCACCTAGACTAGTAAAGCAGTAATAGAAAACAAGTCACTGAAGCAACAAAAGTCCTGCAAAAGTTGTTGCTCTAATTCTATGTTTGCGGAAAGATGTCTACTTAGGGGTCTGATATATCCGGTGCTATGTGCTAACATAGTCTCATTTGTCACTTAATTTTCTACTTCCTCTTACACCAGGCTGCTAAAAGAAGAATATGTTTAAATTCAACCTATATAGTTAGTGAGTCTCTCTTTCCTTCAAACTTTATTAGATTTCTTTCCTTCAAAATGGTCCATTAGATGCAACCAGGTATGTCCTACCAAATCAAAATACGCTCCAGAAGAGCAGAAACATGATTTTACCCAAGTTAGCATTATTCTACTTTATAGAGATGTGAGGCTAGTGTGATAAGGTTTTGTCTTAGACTGCTAGTCGTTCATGTTGTGTTCACACTATTCTATCATTTTTTTTTTGTGCCGGACCTTATCTATTGATTATTGTTAGTACTTTGCATCTATTCATATGTTTCTGTCATTATTTCTATTATTTTTTGTTGATAGTATTGATATATTGTCTCTCTTTTCGTCTTCTTGAGCCGAGAGTTTACCCGAAACAACCTCTCAACCCCCTCGGGGAAGGGGTAAGGTTTACGTACACATTACCTTCCTCAGACCCCACTTGTGGAATTTTACTGGGTTGTTGTTGTATCTAACTGACCAATACTAGCTAAGTAAGTGCTAACAAACTAATTCAGCTGTGCAAAGTATAAAAATACATCTCAATAATTCTGAAAGTGTTCATTGAGGCCCTATAATGTCTCACCTAGATTAGAAAGGCAGTGATAGGGAACACGGCACCGAAGCAACAAAAGTTGTTGCTTTAGCTCTATGTTTTGCGGAAAAATGTCTACTCAGGGGTTTGAAATATTCGGTACTAACATTGTCTCATTTGTCACTTAATTTTTATCTTCTTCCTCTCGTATGCTCTACACACTAATTTCTTACTTTCGTTGTTGCACTGCAGATAACTTTCCTCTATAAATCATAAGGATACTTGAGATGTCCATGAGCTAAAAGCTATAGTGTGTTATCAAAAGGATGCTTACGATCTGTTTTTTCCGGTAACTTTATTTCAATAATTAAAATATGACCTAGAGTGCAGTGAATAGATAATTACACATATATTACTGAATCTAGTAGATATCGAGTTACTTGTCTAACCCAGGTAAGATATCAAGATTACACCAGACTGTTAAATGAAGAATATGCTCAATTTCAACTTAGCTTAATGAGTCCCTCTTTCCTTCTAAACTCCTTAAGTTTCTTTCCTTCCAAATGGTCCAGTAGATGCAACCAGGTATGGCTAGAGGTGTCAAATTTGACCCATAATCGTAAAAGATGTAATTTCAGAAGCTTTTTTAAATTTTCTGAAATGTAGTCGAGACCTAAATCCTTGCAATAGATTCTGCAATCTTAAAACTAACATTTGCTGCTACAATTTGACCGAAACATATGTTGAGTTAGTGTAAATTGTTGTTCACCGATCAATTGCTTAGATTTATATGATAATTGAGGGGTTGGGTTTTGACTCGTTACTTCTTGACTCATCTCGACCCAAATCCATTTTGACCTAAAATCAATTTGGATGGGTTGGGTCATGACCCGTTTATTGATCCAACCCGTTTTGACCCGCCCAAATTTAATTCAACTCGCCCATTTGCCACTCCCTATGTATGGCCTACCAAATCAAAATACGCGCTAGAGCTTTGGTATTAAGAAGATTTTTAGTCTCCTCAAACATGCTAGTTCCTTTCCCTCCTCAGCCCAGCATTTCAGTTACTTATCTTGAAGTTTGAGTAACAGTAAACAAAACTAGTCACTTTTCATGAGTCTTTTAAATATAGAAACTCTTTCCTCAATAAACTTATTGCAATAATTCTCCAGTCATTGGCCAAGTCTTTGGTTAATTCTTCATTGTTTTTTGCATTTTTTTCATTCAGTTTGATAGACCATGTGATGTAAAACTACAATTGTTATTAGTTTCTTCAAAGTGGCTAAAATTAGAAGGATGCCAACGATAACTATAACCAGTACAAATTAGAATAGAATGATGCCAAGGAAATCTTAAGCTAGAAACTTCAATGTCTCTAAGATGGAATTAAAGCTTGCAACAATAGTAAAGGAAATACTGTAATATGAAGTGTAAGACAGATTTAAAACTTGTAACTATTCAAGAATAATAATACTATATTATGACTTGCTATTGATAAGAAAGAAATACAATTTATACCTGCATATTTTGACATCAAGTCCCCATTACTCAGGTAAGGCATAACCATGTAAAGGTGAGAATCTGTTTTGCAGACACCAAGGAGTTGGATAATGTTGGAATGATTAAAAAGGGACAAGTTCTTGGCCTTTTCGATCGGATCACTTGTCCCAATTCCCTTGAGAGAGCATTTTTTTGATAGCAATAGGCTGCCCATTCAGCTCCCCCTGTAGACTATCCCTTAGAGTCCGCGCCCAACTTTATGTGCAAAATTATTTGTCCCGTTATTTATATCTTCGAAGCTGAAGGGAGTGATTTCACCTAGAGCTAATAATGGGTACAAAGTGTTAAATGTTAGAGATTACTATGCTTACATGTTAAATGTAATAAATTTTACTAAAAGAATTACTCCATTATTCTGTGGGGGCAGGTTGTTGTTGGGTTGACTCTTCCATTTCCTATTGTATTTCAGGTTGTGGTTGTTGTTGGGTTGACTCTTGTATTTCACTTTCAACCATGGCTGAGAAAAAATCCTCATGTATTTCACTTTCAGCCATGGCTGAGAAACAATCCTCTTGTATTTCACTTTCAGTTCAGCCATGGCTGAGAAACAATCCTCTTGTATTTCACTTTCAGCCATGGCTGTCAATTTTTCTCTTTCCCTGCAAAACACAAGATCAATAAAAATAGTAGGCACCTTAGATTTAAGAACATGAGATACCTAAGATCTCTTCAACATATTTTGTCAGGAAGTTGTTAATCGACTCACATAACCAAGTGCTTGAAGCTCTGCACTATGATACTTAAGTCTTAAGAAGCGATAAAACTTTTGTAACTAGATGAGGGCATCAGTCTTAATTTTTTTTTTTATATTCGACTCTGACAAAATTATGGCCTGTCCAAGTCTGGTTCTCTAACCAATGGGATTAATACTCCATGATGTTCTTCCTATAAGCACAGGATTAGGAATGATATCATTTTCAAAGTGGAGGGGCAGATTTTCGTGAGGGCTCATAATCTTTCCTTACACCAAAATCTCTTCTCATAACTATTGTTTTTATTGAGTCTAAGTTTGCTCACTGACCAAAGAAGCAGTACAATAAAGGAAGAGAAGAAGACTTGTGGTGAGTGTGTGGAAGTGTTGATGTGTCAAGGTAATATTTCTATTCTATTCCCAGATCAGCAAATCAAGCAACTTCTGGCTTTTTGTACATTAAGGAACAATTCCAATTCTGGCGTGTCCCTGTAGTATATGATCCTTTCTTTCTTTTTACATATGGTATTTGACACTTTATGACATTGTGCATAACCAGCAATCAATAGGGTTATAACCCCAGAATTCCAAATACAATTTTCTGAATTGAGAAGCAAAATAAAAAAGGTGTTGCACAACCAAATGTTAAACGGCTAAGGTAACATTTTTCGGGAAAAAATTAAACACATGTAGTTATCAATATTGTAAATACAGGCTGATATATCACTTCAACAAACACCTTATGAAGTTGCACAAGTTAAGGGTTTTAATTAATAACTCCGCAAAACCTTCAAAAGGATAATATGAGCTAAGTTCAATGACCATATTCTGTAATAACTGGCACAATACTCGAGACCAGGAAGGGAGACTAGCTTAAATTAAGAAGGAAACCCATCACCCATCTTAGCATTTACACTAATAGAAGCACCCACATTTGTGATTTATCAAGTGCATAATAAAATAATAGAAGAAAACAAGTTAAAAAAGAAAGTGCATAATAAACCGACATTTATGATTTATCAAGTGCATAATAAAATAATAGAAGAAAACAAGTTAAAAAAGAAAGTGCATAATAAACCGACATTTATGATTTATCAAGTGCATAATAAAATAATAGAAGAAAACAAGTTAAAAAAGAAAGTGCATAATAAACCCACATTTATGATTTATCAAGTGCATAATAAAATAATAGAAGAAAACAAGTTAATGTTAAAAATAAAAAATAAAAAAAAGCTTGAAAAAAAGTGGAAGACGATGGAAAAAGTACCAATGCACGGCGGTGGTATGCTCGACGACGCTGGTAATGCAAAGGAATGTTGGAGCCAAATATGTATTGTTTATATAACACTAGGAATGTTGGTGTCCCATTTGACAAATAGGTCTGCTTGTATAAGACAAAATAGCATTTTACATGGCGTGTATATCCGATTATTGATAGTGTTTGCTGCACACTGATCCCAACATTATTATTTAATTCTCATGCTTTTTGTCTTCTTAATTTAATAGTACTATACTTAGTAAGTTATTGTACAATGTGATATACCTGGATTAGTGATACCATTTTAATAATAATAGTATTATTTAGTGAATATACTTTATGGCAGATTTTTGGACTAAAAACTGGTAAAGTTGTTGACATGTGACCAGGAGGTCATGAGTTCAAGCCGTGGAAACAGCCTCTTGCAGGGTAAGGCTGCGTACAATAGACCTTTGTGGTCTGACCCTTTCCCAGACCCCGTGCATAGCGGGAGCTCAGTGCATGGGGCTGCCCTTTTTATATTAAAAGCTGGATATTGTGTATAATGTAAAACATGTGTTACGTTTTTCGTACTAAATAAGTAGGGTTAAACTTTTGTTTTAATTATAATTAAGCTTTTAAGAGCATTAGAGAATAGTATTTTAGTCATTTTGGTGTTTAATTCCGTGATTGTTATCCTGCATTGAAGATGGTATAAAAATAATAATCGTACCACAATTGTGGTATAACTAATCCCTATTTTAAATCAAAAGTTCAACAAAACGCAGGATACAATAATTTCACATTTTATCTCGAGATTGTTATCACTTATCCTACAAATTACACTACAAGAAAAGGTTTACTAGCGACCAAAATTTAGTGACGGGTGATAAATCTCATCCCTAAAAGTGTACGTATAAGGACGATATTGATTCCGGTCCCTAATTCTCTATTTTGCCTTTTAATTAGTGAAGGGACTAAATCCGGCCACTAAAATAATTGAATTCTGGTCCTTAATACTGTTATTGAGCGTCACGCTATTTATCTTTGCCTTAAAAATATGAAATAAACAAAAATGAATATTCTAAAATTAAAAAGATAACAACTCTGTAATTAGAACTCAGCTCTCTCAAAACTCCGTCTCCTTCTCAAAGCCTTAAAAACCCTAAACCCATCTCTTAAAACCCGTAAGATCCCTAAAATCATTATCTCTCAAGATTTCGTTCTTCCGATTTCTTCTAATATTGTTGGAGAGATATGGGTAGCCGTTGGACTGAGTATGGATGTTCTTCCTACTGCATAGATGTTGCCGAATATTGCGTTGTTCCTAAATCTGGTACAGGTTTGTGGGCTGATTTTGGGTATGTCAAAAGTTATCCTTTTATATACATTCTATAATGATTTATCTAGTTATTTTTTAATGTTTGGGTCGATTCTTCTCCAAAATTTACAACAGATCTAGCTAGAGGGCTTGAACTCCAGAAATATTTTGGGATTCCTCAGTAAACTTTGTCCAGTGAAATAAATTTCTTCTCATTATTGGCAACGAGGTAGTGATTTCATTCCAAGATATGTTTTATGGCTTTACAGTTTGATTACAAAGTTTTATTTTTTGATTGTTAAATTAAAAAGTTTTGTTTGTTTGCTTGTTTTATTCTTTTTCGCTCTTTATTGTCAATGTACAAATACCATATGAGTTGTGACATATTATCACACCTGACGTCTTAGTGAATCCAAATGTAATGATAAGGATACTTTTCATGAATTTGAATTTTAAATGCCAATATCAGTTTATGACATAATAATTTGGGAAAGGTCTCTGGAGGATATTTTTTTACTTTTTACGGTGTTAAATGTGATGGGCACTAGTAAAGCGAGAAGATAAAAGAATATTATATAATTTATGTAGTGAAAGAATGGTGTTAATAATTAATTTAGGAGTTTTGAACTTCAAATCTTGTATCAGGAATGAGATTATTTTTCAGTGGCAATAAAAGGATGTAGCACAGTATTTAAAATTTATCCTGTTCATTTGATTGTTCATATGTCTAAGTAGTTGAGTAGTCAGCAGAGTTAGAGGGTCCCTTAATGAGTTATGGTTTCTTTTTTTTTTCTTCATAAAAATAATGTACTATATTTTGTTCTAATTGTGAGGTTTATGTTTGATCAGTTGATTAAGATATTCTTTGCGTTTGGCCACGATACTCCCTTTGAGTTAACTTGTACCTATTTTCTCATCTTAGATTTAACATTTGCATTATCCCAGGCATTTTTATAAGCTTCTATACATAGAGATGTATAATATTCTTGTGAAGGAAATCTCATTGCTGCTAAGTTATGTAGAAACTCTTAGTTTCACCATTCTTTCCTTGGGTCGTGTATGTATGTGTTTGGTGTATCTCTAGCTATTTTCTTAGCTGCTAATGAAATCATGATCTTGGTTGTTAATATATTTTTCGATGTCAGTTGCTACATTTCAGGATTAGCTATTGTTATTCTTCATCTTGTTCGACTTTTTTGACTTCTTGGGGAATATTAGGAGCAAACATATGAGTATGTAGTTAAATTAGGCTGAGCAACTGTACCTTTTTTCCCCAAAATAATATCATTAAAGTGGAGAATACTGTTATTTGTCATGACTTGAGTGATATTAAAGTTTGTGAATAAGCTATATACCTTAGTTATCATAAATGAGTAGTTGGAAAGTGAAGTATTTGAGCAGTGCTAGAAAAGAAATACTTTTGTCTGTTTGAGCTCCTATGTCATTGTTTAGAATGTTTTGATTTCATTTACATGATTTTCTATGTAAGGAAATTACTTCCTTGAATGTTCTGAACATGCTGCTTTAAAAGATACTAAATATGTGGCTAATTCTTGGTAAGTTAAATGTGCTATTGCTGGAGAAATGGACAATTTGGACATTGCAGGTACTTATATGTTATTCTGATGTCCTTAAGATGCTATAGCTGAAAATATTGTGGCCACAATAATAGTTGAACTAGAACTCACTACTACCTTATTTCATCTGAGTACAATGGAGTATTCTATCCAAATGGACAGTTGTATAGGCTAATGTGGTGTTAATATGTGCAGGTACAAGGTGAAGGACCAAGTACATTCAAATAGCAAGAAGTTGAACACAAAGTGCAAAAATTTCCCACCTTATTGAAGATATGAAAAATATCGTCAACAATAATTTTTCCACTAGCAGAAATTTGCTTCCTTAGAGGCTGTACAGAGTTTAACAACTGCACCCAAGAGGTACTAAGCTAAATATTAGGGTGAGTTTGAAAATTAATGTAGTTGAAGACTAGCAGCTTGATGGTGTTTAGCTTTAGTTTGTTGCAGTTGTGCACTGTTTTAGACACTGCTGTAGAGATGCAATCTCCATTGAGTTCAACGGCTTGACGTACTCAGTTTTAACAAAAGTTGATATTAATACCAAGTGAAGTTGTCAGCGCGTATTGGATGCAGAAATAAAGATTTGTTGAATATGAAATCAAGACAGTTTCATGGTAGAAAAAAAGATTTGGCTGAAGGGGATCAAACCACAACAACACGGGCCTCTTACATCAGACATTACAAAAGTTGTCCAATTCTTTTTCCTTGCTGCTACAGAACTGAGTTATTCCTTTACAGTTAGTTGTCGGTTGATCTAATTTTTGCCTTCAAAGTGATTTTTCCAACTTATATTAGTTGAATTACTCATTGGAGTGTATTAGACAGACTGGTATCGCGAGAATATTTAGATGGTTATACTATATAAAGTCTAAATTCAGAAATATGTAGGAGGTAAGGTATATGTCCCCCTCCTTGTATTTGACATGTTAATGAAATCTACATTAAGGTCTCGATGATTAACCTTGATGTGCATATATGAAAGCTTGATGTTACTGATAATTTTGTGGTATTAAGCTAATTATTTTTGTTGCAAATTGTATAATATTCTGGTAATAAATTGAATATTAGAGAATTAGTAATTAGACTTTTAGTCCTTAAAGATCTTTAAGGACCATAATTTTTTGTCGTTAAATATATTTAGGCCCCAGATGGGACTTTGTCTAACGGCCAGAAATTTGGTCCCTAAACGTGTTTTAGAGACCAGAATATTGCTAGTCGCTAAAACTCTTTAACGACCAGTCGCTACACTCATCCTTATTGCCTTTTAGCGACGGAGCCTATAGCGACCAGTCACTACTCATTTTTTAAGACCAGAATTGGACTTTTAGGGACCATTTTTTTTGTCTCTAAAAGAAAAAAATGCGCAGTTGCCAAGAGATTGAGAGAAAATGGGTGCTCTAAAGAAGATGCCACAAAAATTACTGACCTCGCCTTAAGGTGCACTCAGTGCGAGATACGTAAGAGGCCCAATCTTGATCGAATCATTCAGGAGCTACAAATGCTTGACCAGGGCGGTTCTTGCCTGAAGAAAGCAAGCTGTTTTCGTCTACTTTAAACTGGGGATTGGCAAGTGTGTTTTTTTGTGAAGACTTCCATGTGCAAGATCCATTCTGACAATTTAGATTAAGAGAATTTAGATGAGACTCACCTCTGAGACATGGTTTAGATCCGCTTGGCCGGAATCAATGACCTATCTCCTTTTTTTGCGGTGAAAACTTAGCCTTGTAGTATTGTGGGGTACACGTTATTATTGTGGGGTACACGCATTTATTTTCTTGGATATATCTCCTAGTCCTAGTATAGTGTGTGTATATACACACACACACACTGAATTGTAGTAATATTCGAAGTCCTTTCTCAAATTTAGGTAACTTAATACTCCCTCCGTCTGATAATATGTGTCGTGATTCTCTTGTGCACGCCCCTTAAGAAAGAATAATTTTTGACTATTTTATCCTTATTAAATATTTTCTCAATTTATGTGTCATCTCCATCAATGACATTATCTATATTTTTACTAAATGTGAATGCAATTGATTTGCTTTATAGAATATATGAAGAGACACCTAGGATAATTAACAAATCAGTAATGCAAACTCTTCCAACAAATAAATGGCAGTAATTATTGTGGAGCCAATAAATTCAATTTGAAAGTTACTTTAGTCCCATTTGAAAATTTAACATTCCCCACCTAAAATTTCCTATAAAAAAAATGCTTCACTAAATTCTTGAAATGAACACGGATCCAACACAAAGTCATCAATTTTCATTAATCCAAATAGATCTAAATATGCCTGTTGAACTTCGTGTGGCTAATGGTGTTAGACCACAAATTCCTGATCTAAATATTACTACAGAAACTATTCCTGACCAAAATATTGAATCTACCTATCAAAGAGTTAGAATGTCTTGTGAATCAATATAAGTTTGAATATACTTTATAAAGAACTTTGGTATTTAAAATATTGATTACATTAGTGTAAACATGATTAAAGTGTTTAAGATTACAAGGTAGACTTCTTGGTATTTGAATAAAATTATCCATAAGTAATGTATTTGTAGTCTTCTAAGATAATTAATTATTAAGGGTAAAAAGAAAAAATATAATTAATTTTGTCTTGAACTTTTAAAATAATTTGAGACACCTATTTTTAGTAATCACGAGACACCTATGGGAGTAATACTATTCAAAGTCCTTCCCCAAATTTAGGAGTTTGGTAACTTAATAATTTTCAAAGTCTTTCCTCAAATTTAGGTAACTTAATAATAATATTCAAAGTCCTTCCCCAAATTTAGGAGTTTGGTAACTTAATATTTCTTTGACGAGAACTAGAGTTTTTTAATTGACACTAACCACAAGAAAAAACAAATAAGAAAAATCAATATTCTCAGTTCTCTCTCATCGCATATCTCATATCGTCAATTTCTTCTCTACCACTTTCAATCCTTTTTGTAAGTGTAAACACTCATCTTACCTAAAAATGTTGCTTTATTTTGTAAAGTAATTTTTTTATATGTATTGATACCCAACAATAACTTTGAGTTCTTGATTTTTATGGAAGAATTGTATCCGCTGCATCTTAAGTTTGTTTTCTCTTTGTCAGTGTTGATGAGCATCGTTTGACAAGATTTTGCTGAATTAAAAACGTCTCTTAGGTTGTGATCTACGATTTTAGCCCTGGACAAAACTTTAGCTTGACAATAACTAAAACTTTAGAGGAAAACCAACTTTCTTATTTCTTGCTTAAGATTTAAATTGTTGTGAACGAGTCTATAAGGGCCTATGGGCTAGAAGAGGTAAATGAGGCTAAGTCAATTGGAATTATTGGGCTGAGTAAAATATTGAAGAGTTTTATTTGGAATCTAGACCCATTTAGCAAATGGTTAAAAGGGGACTAGGGGTTAGTAAGAAGGAGAATTGTGATGTTGAATATGTTCTCTCTCATCTCTGCTTTATATCTCTAATTTTCTCATCTTCTTCAATACGTCTCTCCTTCTAACCTCCTTCTTTTTATGAGTTCTTCTATGTTATTTTCATAGCTATTACTTGTAATTGTTTAGTAACGGTAATACTACAAGTGAGTTTACTTGTGTGCGAATCGGTTATTTCAAGTTTGTTACATTGGTGCTATCATCCCTCAGACTCCAACTACAACTATGTTTCTACCTCGATTCAGTAGCGATGGCAACCCAGAGAATTGGCTTTTTCGAGCCCAGTTGTACTTCACATACCTTGGCTTCTCCGAGAAGGACTGGCTGCCCCTTCCATTCTTCTACCTAGAAGGTGATGCCCTCGCTTGGTTTGATTTGCTATTTCACACTAAACAATTCTATGATTGAAACCATTTCAAGGAGAAGTTTCTTCCGGGCCAGCCAACAAGACGGAACAAGCAATTACTGTAATGTCTACTTGAGTTTTCCCTAATACATTGGCTGATAGGTCTTCGGTTACCGCAACGAACTCCAAAATTCATCCTTCTTCCTTCAGTTCATTCACAGACCTTCAAATCCCTACTATACATAATCCTAACTCTAAATTACATGGTGGATACAAGTACACACCAGTCGAAGACAAGGTGTTTGACGAATTTACCCAGAGTGATGAACAAAGTGATGCAACATTCCTTGTCCCTCTTGTCGGACATGATCATCTTATACCCAGTAGGAATGAGCATTTAGTTTCTCTGAGAGTTTGTGTGTTGAATCTGAGAAGCTTTCAAATGCAACAACTAAGGCTGGCAAGTGGGCCGGTCCTGGGCCGGTCCCGGGCCTGGACCGGCCC